TTTTGAGAACATGGTATATATTTGGAAAATTGCACCAATGGGAGGATGTAAAATTGTTTTTCTTATTGAAGGGTAATGGAGAATGGGAATTACGAAATGTAACAATGTATGTCGAAGTGCACGATTCTGATTTGGAACAATTGTCGTACAAAATGGTTCGTTAGCTTTCTTGTCTGGATATAAAAATATGCATAAGTTATTATCTAGAATACCTTCGTGGTTTCAATGGAAAGAAATCCGCAGTTCTATATTACGATGGTAATCCTTCCTTCGTTTGTCATCAATATACTTTCTATTTTTGGAGTTTTTCTTAAATCCGCGGACACTATGGGGAAGGTACATAAGTATGCTCTTATTTTTACATCTTCATTGTCTTTTTTAGCTTGGAATGGCGTTAACAAACATAATGTCATTAACATTCATTCTCGGAATTTTGGCCACAGCGCTGCCGAAGACGAAAGGGTTGCCTAGAATAGGTTAATACACCGGTCCTTATCTATCTCACTCCTTCAGATTTCTTATTTTTTCGGACGTGATGGATTAGTTTTGTACAAATCAGAATCATTTCAGCTGTATACGTCATGATAAATCTGTTTATCATGGTTCTAGCACTTCTTGCTACCGTCATATTACCGTATGTCAACCGATTCGTCAGTAATCGCAATGGTTTCAGTGAAAAATCGAGTGAGAAAAGGTATAGAAGTCTTATGTTCTCTTTGTGCAGACTAATTTTGACCTTTTTCAGGAAGTTAAAGCATAAAAGAATGTCTTGGATCATCGAATACGGTATGATTGCATTGATAGAACTTGCAAACCTCATCAACTTCATTGTACTTGTTGGATAGTTTAACTGATCGCTATTGTGGGAATAAATGTTTGAGGATAAAACTGAGTATTGTTTTAGATTCCCATATGACAATGAATGCGATTGTGGAAGAGAAGCGGCAGTATGTAAATACATAAATCTCAAAAAATGTTGGAACACATATCTAGTATATTTTAAAACTTAATCTCGAGTATAACTAATTTTTTAGCTAATTCGAAGTGACTTCGGCTACTCGTTTTCTAACTAAAAAGCCTTAAATTTATAAAAGTTAGAATCAATCTAACACTTGTTTAAGTTCCGGTATTCATCCTGCTGAGAACGATTATGGTGAGCAGAAAGAAGGAAATGCAAGCAAAAGCAGAAGCTTTAAAAGAATGAAAATCTTGCTGACTAATATCATGTAGGAGACACCGGAGCAAAGAGTTTTTTACTAGTAAAGCGTGAAAAAAATT